TTTTTTTTTTTTTTTAGTTAAACAAAAACTTATATTAGTTTCGATACGAAGCTGAAAAGATTACACATTATGTATTTTTTTTTGTCTTCCCATGAAAATTCTCAGCTTTCATTGAACCAATTAATTAATTACTTACAGAATAATAATAATTTAAACTTTTTTTTTTATTATCTTGAGTTACACATTATTCATTATGGTTATGATAAAAAATCACTGTGTATACAAGCATCAAAGCTTTTCTTATAATAATGATGTTAATCATTGTCAATTATTAACTATACTTGTCCTATCTAAGTCGCGTCCCCACTGTGCTTGAGTTTTTATAAATCTAACAATACACATTAGTAGTAATATATACAGAGTATTCAATAGGTAAGGAAACAAATCAATTGTTTGTAACAATTTACCTGTTCCTTACTTCTGATAACTCTCTATAGGTGTTTCACTATGATTTGATACTTTTATTATAATATATAGAGTTTCAATAATTAAGGAAAAGGGTATCTATTGTTCTTATTATTTATAACAATTGATCTGTTCTCTTACTTACTGAACACTCTATATATTATAATGTAAGTGTTAAATCATGGTGGGTCACCTATTTATAGAGTGATTGAATGAAAACTTTTTAATACCTTTTTTTTAAAATAATTTTTATAGTTTTGGACTAGTTAAAAGCATATTTTTTTATTATTTGTCCTCAATTCGAAAAAAATACATTTTTTTATGTTTTTGAAACTTTCAAATAGTCACTTTTAGTCCTAATCTTACAAAAAAATTTCAATGGATTCATTACAACTTTAGGATAAGTACTCATTGAGTTACAAGTATTTTAATACATAGTGGGTGATGGTATATAGTATAACTATCTAAAATGTACTCAATACCTCTAAAATGGAATATTGTAAGCTATGTATGAAAGAGCTGAAATATATCATTGAATACTTTAAATATTTCTTCATTAGTATGTCAGAATTTTTTCTAAATAATTGCTAGCGGTTCCCAGGTTCAAAGCAACAAGATAATCACAATAAGTTTAACAATCACATTTATTAGATTTTGTATTGATTGAATCAAACCGTTAAATAAAAACAAAAAAATTATTTATTTATTTAATTTAATTAGGGTAATTGTCAAACTCAATAACTCACAAAAATATATTTTCAAGCGATCAATCAATTTTTTTATACATACTTGAGAAAATTATCGTTATATGCTATAATTATTCTTGATATTTCATTGTTTAAACATTAATAGTCATAGTTAAATTTACTATTATTACCAAGATACTTTTATGGATTACGGTTTAGTAATCAGTTATAATATATCTTTCTGACTTCAAAAATAAATGTCATTTTTTGATTTTGGTTCACTAATTTTTTCGATGTCTGGTATAAATAAACTTACATAAAGATAAATAGACACAGCTGTCCATGACGTTGCACTGAGTTTGATCCTATAATAAAGTTTCGCAGCGTATAAAATAAATCAACGCATTAATACATAATTGTATTATGTTATTTATTTTATCAATTTTACAAATATATAGAATAACTACAACATCTAATAATTCATGTCATGTATTTAATTCTGGACTTTAAATTTCAGTATTTTCAAATACTCAAACTAATACTTACAATAAATATAAATATATCCTAAAATAACACCAAGTAATTGTAAAAGTAATATACTTTAGTAAGCCGTTCATTATCAAGTTATTATTTTTATCAGTTACTAGACGTACAAAATATCATTTTTGTTTTTATAGTATTAAATTTTATAAAAATATAATATACACTCGTGAAGAGCTTAATACTATTTATTAAAGCTTCAATGTATATAAATGTAATAAATGTGCACAACAAAGTAGCCATTTAATAATTTAATCAACATTATATCCACGTTTATTTCCTAACAAAATTATTTGCCCGATAGTATTTGTAAAGAACTATTGGCTAACTCAGAAAATATCAAATATATCAAATTAGAAGTTATACTAGATTAAATAAGATATGACGACCATTTTAAATCCAAATTTCAATAAAGTAATTAGCAATATAGTATCAATATGTAACTTTGGTTGGCTTGTATCTTTTGAAATGTAAAAAAAGTTACAGAGACAAGAGATTAGGGTTCATTAATGGTTTAACTATATGCCTGTCATCTAATGAGTACTTTGAAATGTGATTGATGGCTGGATGTGACAACATTGTAAAATAATTTAACCAAGAAATATTTTATTCCTAAGTTAAAATTAGTTTAAAGATAAAATTATTCACACTGACATTTATCACGCAAGAAAATGTGTGTACATTTTCAGTAAATTCTTCTATTTATTAAAAAAAAAAACATTTCACAGGCAAGATAAAGGCTACATAATTGGTTTTTTTATTGTACTTTTCATGAAAATACCTTGTTTCAGTACGTGAATTGTACAAACAAGGCTAAAGTCGACAGGGTGCATGCTAAACTAGGACATGCGTAATTTATAGTAACGGCAATTTATAAAACGGGAACGTCGACACTTGTAAATCACTATAGAATAATGTAAGGGCACATTTGAAATATCGGTGCTACCTCTAAACGTTATTTATTGTCACAGCACTAGGCTGTTGAAAATATTATGACTATCTTTTGTATAAAGTTATTTTTTGTTTTAAATAAATTGTTTTAAAAAATTGTTTGAATTATTTACACAATGAAAAATGTTTAATATTTATTTTGTCTACTTCAGTTATAACACATAGTGATGCCAAACTTAAGTCTATTTAGTTTAATGAATTTCATACAAACTGTTTAAATAATTTAAAAGAAACGCAATGATTAAACAAAGTCATTGTTTCCAAAAATATCCTAATATTTTATTTGTTGTTCTTGATTTTTCGTATTAGTTTTTATGAACAATTAAATTTGGTATTAAATTGTCATATATTTTTTTTTCTTTTATGAGACTCTAAAACTTTGAAACGTCAAATATTTAAATATAAAAATTTCATTACTTTAATGAAAATTACAAGGTAAAATTACTATAGATTCGTAAATTGCATGAAAACAAAATATACTGTATCCATCCTTTTTAATACAGTAATTCCTTTAGCAAAAAGTTTAAATAAAATATTAACCGTCCCGAAAAGTCATTAAACAAACTTTTAAATTATTTAGATTAATACAAATATTTGTATTTGTTTTTTGAAAACCAACCATTTATATGTTTAATTTTAATATAAGTATTTGTATATACTCTATAAATGTTATTAATTAGAAAACAACTTTAATTAACTAAAAATCAAAACAACACAATACAAATATGAATAAAATCTGAACTCAACATGAAACAAGTGAAATGAGATGGGAGTACAAAATAATGTTATTTTAATAAAATTTTCATTAAATACAAGTTTATACAGTGAATAATAAACTAAATGGCGATGCGTTGACGTTTTAACGTTTTTCAAATGTGTCACATAACTTAAAGTCCCATACTTCAAAATGTGTGCATTGACGCAAAATAGATAACTCTCATAATGCTAATTTTTATTTATAAACATCATCTTTCAAAGAATCATCATTCGTCAATGATCACAATACAACAATATTTTCTGCATAATACTTTTTTAATTTTATTTATACCTAAAAAAAATGTACATATGATAAGTACACAAAATTTTCAAATAAAAATTTAAAGAACTTGTTCATTTATCATACAATTTAGTGTGTTTATTTTTCTTATTAAAAAAAAAAAAAAACGCGGCACAGTGGGGACGTGGCATAGTTGGTTCCAGTATAGATGATATCTGACAGTGATTAAATTCACAATCATGAAAAACGCTTCGATGCAAATCTGTAGATAATGTTTAATTTTAAAAAATTGGTGGATTATTCCAAAAACTACATGATCTCTCTATTGATTAAATGCACATACCAATAGGAAGTAAATGGAAAATTGCTTTTTTTGGATTTATTACTTAAAAGAGTTAAGTGGGAACTAAATTTTGAAATTTATCTGAAAAACACAAATACATTCAGATACATTCCGAACAATTTGAACCACAGTTTTGAATTAAAAGCGAAATAGCTAGATTTAATATGTATAAAAAAAACGTAATTCCAAAATTAGGTCGAACACAAAAGTGGAATAAAAAAAACGGTAGCACAGTGTATGGACGTGGCATGTTGGGACAAGTGTATAGATGATATCTGGCAGTGATTAAAATCACTGTCATAAGAAATGCTTCGATGTAGATAGTGTTTAATTTTAAGAAATTGGTGGATTATTCCAAAAACAAAATTAACTCCTATTTCCTTAATTATACCATAATTAGTGGTTCTTTGATTTAAAAGTATGATATATGAATAAATAAAAATTATGGTAATTAAATTTAGTTTGAAATTGATATTCAATAATTGAATATTGTAATTTCTACGGAGATAATAAAGTAGTAATAATAATAAAATAATAAAGTAGTATATTTCTTTACTTTTAACGCGTATAAAAATTTAATCTTTCATCTGAAGTAAAAATATTTTTTTCTATATCAACATTTCAAGTTTTATGATTTATAAGTGTAATATATGAACAAATATATATATATATATATATATATAGTATATAAATATAAATAGTTTTCAGCTTAATAAAAATAATATGATCCATACATTTTTAACAAAAATCGTATATTTTTCATTAACTTTGATGTCTGTTTTCGCCATGAAAACAAAATAAAGTCCGAAATTTTTTTTTTTCATAATAAAGTATATTACATTATCTTTAATGTAAGATAAAAGTATCAGAGTTTCCGGAACACTTTCAAAAGTTAAGTGGAAAAAGTTTTGAATACCCCCTGTGGGCAAGTAAAGGGTCAGATTCATAAAAAAATATACCAAATGAAAGATAAAAACATCATGCATCTATAAAAAAAAATTATATTGATTTGGTTGTTTTTAAAAAAGTTATGGCACTTTTAAGGAAAAAAAATTGAAAATTTTTCGAAAATTAGCGATTTTTAAATTTGTAATTTTTTTGGAAATTTCCCCCATTTAGGGGAAACGAGGGAAATTTTTTCAATTTTTGAGGGTAATGTCTTCGACTAGATACAGTTTGTGATCTTTTGACGTATCGTTGAAAGAAGTCGGTTCTGTGAGAGCTGAGAAAAAGTGGTAACAGACACAAAAAATAACATATCATAGTAAAATTAATACCTTCTCAGCTTCATATTGAAGCTAAAATTATTAGCAGAAATTAAAGATCAAAGAAGCCCATTCTTTCAAAATATCATAGTCCATGATGCATTCACAAAAGTATATAAGTTAATAAGTTTTTAGGAATAATATTTTTAGAAATATTATTTTGAATTTACTACATATTTTTATTCATCAATTTTTTGATCTTATTTGTGTCTATGATAATCATTATTTTTGATTATACAAATATTTGTTTTTAGTAAGTAAAGTAAAAATAAAAGTACGATATATGTTATTATAAATAACTAGAGTAAAAGTATGCATTTAAAAATAGTTTTTCTTAGTTAGTAAAGCAGTGATTAAAAGTTGCACAGCAGTATTGACGAATGGTTTTAAAATAAATCCTCCAATTTGACTTTCATTGAATATATTAAAGACTTTAGTCATTAAATCATTCAATATCAACTACTGTTTAAATGTGTCTTTAGACTTGAGGGTTCTGTTCATGACATTAATGTTAACAACGAAATAAAATGTTACTTGGGTTTGTTTGTAAATAAATTCCAAATGGCTGTGTACATTTTAAACTAGCTACCATATGACAAATCTTACCTTTTCGAACATTTTATTAAAAAGCAAAAAGAATATCAAATATTTTTCTTATATTTCTTAAAAATAACTATAACAGAACCTCAGCCCCACATTTGCTGTAGGTATCATTGGATATCTAATAATATTAATTCATACAACTATAGATTTAACTTATTTCACAGGATCAATTGAAATTTATAGGAAATGTTTCAGTGTCAAATTAATTCTAAATAAGACATCATATTTATAGATATAAAATATAATTGTATATATTTATTGAACATTTTAAAAAATCGTATTATAATATATTTACAAATATAATTAAAGTGTATTAATAATGAAGTTTAGATGTACATATAATATTTTCATGAGACATAATTGAAATGATAGAAAATATTCTTTAAAAATGTTGTTGTGGCCAAATAAAAAATATAAATTGGCCAGAATTTGTTAATAAAACATTGTCTATTAACAGTAATAAAAAGAACACGAATATAATCGTATTATATAATCTACCGACGGATTCATGACCAAGTAGTTAGGTACAAGCTAAATGTTGTGTGGATGATCTGTACAGAAGCAACAGCAAACAGAGTAATGGCAGTGGCAACTAAAACCTAAAATCAAATTGGTTATATTTATAAAATTAATAACCATACTTTTGAAAATGTTTCTACCTTTTCAATTTATATTGATATTTAATCAGTTATTTTAATAAACAGTATCATTATTAATTTATTAAGTACAACATAACCTAGTGATACTATCTGTAATTAAAACAAATCTTCTTTTTTTCCTCACTATTATTTCAATTACTTGGGGTCGGCCATCTTAGTAATACTATCTGCAATTAAAACACATAAATGTAAAATAATTTATTTAGTTTAAGTAAAATATTATACCATTATTACACTTAATTTAAAATTTAGTTTAAAAAAATCACTATCCTAAAAATTATTTGATGCAAATCTTAAAAAATGTTTCATTTTTTTAAAGGATTGCTGGATTATTCCAAAAACAACATTCAGCATTTCCTTAATTATATCCTGATAAAAGTTGAATTACTTATAAGTATAATACGCGAATAAACATGTGTTATACCAATTAAATTTATTATAAAAATTTTACTCAATAATGTAGTATTTAAAATTTTACAAAAACAAATATTAAAAAAGAAGAAATTTTGATTATTTTTAATCATTTTTAAATTATAATCTCAGTTATGAAATTTTAATTCAGTATAATAACAAGTTCTTATTTATTATTTGTTTTCCATTTACATCTAAAAGACAATTTTTTATTATCTTATAATATGTAATATAAGCTTTAATTTAACATATGTAATACGTAATTAAACATATTTAATACTCCAAAATCTAAGTAATCTCGGAACATCATTCAAATTAAGTTGCAAAAATTCTTCATTATATCACTATATTCCAAGTTTTGAACCCCTTTTGTATAAAGGGAAAAAGAACCGATAAGTGAAAAAAAGTATGACGGAAAAAATAATATGTATAAAATACTTTTTAAAAAAATTGTTCTAATTTATAAATTTATCAAAAAGTAATAGCAATATAAAGTTTTAAATTTAAAATCCAGAAATTTAGCACAATAGCTTTTATTTTTAATATGTTAGGCGTTTTCACCACCCAAGAAAAATAGAGGGCTAGTTCTTTGTCAAATTAAAGTATTATATGTAAGCATTAATTCTATATATGTTTAAAAAACGCAGTACTTCTGGAACATTTTCAAAGTTTAAGTTGAAAAAATTAACTTTTCATGGAACAGTTTTTATTTTGAATCCTCTCCTGTGAGCAGGTAAAGATTTAGATTTTCGAAAATAATATACTTAATGAATGGGAAATACCTAAGGTATTTATACAAAAAAACTATTTTGATTTGTCCATCTTTCAAAAATTATGACAGTTTATAGTAAAAGAGTTCTAAAAATATTAAAACTCGCCGATTTTAAAAATCGTATTTTTTGGAACTAATTTCCCGCATTTATGGGGAATGTGGGAATTTCTTCAAATTTTTGAAAGAAAATTAAAAATAATTATTTTTAATTGTGCTGCTATGAAATTAAATTATTTTATATATTTGATATTCTGATGATGTCTCATGAACTATTTGTCTATAATGTACAATAAAAATGAATTGATTTCATGTAAATTAATACAGTTTGTTGATTTTAGTAATAATAATTAACAAATAGTTTATCAATATTTAAATAACCAAATACTGACAACTAATTTAAACGTTGTGATAAAAAGTTGTGATGCGTTTGTGTATGCCATCTTTAAAATAAAATGCGTTAAATAATTAAAAATTACACAATAAACAAAAAAACTCATTTCGTTTGTTATAATTTAAAAATTTGGATCAACTTGTTAATATCTAAATAAATCTTAACATTTGATTTAATTCGGTTAACATAAAAAATGATTCTATTTAAATATTTTATTCATATTATATCAATAAAACAATAGATTTTAAACGATCTTTTACTATGAATCGGCAATATAATTTTAATATTATAATATCATATTCAATCAAAGCCGTATTATTCATTAGACACAATGGACACTGTAACAAGCAATATAGGGCTTACGAATTTAATTATGAGAACTTTTTTTGCTTATGTTATAGTTCCATAATTAGTGACAAAAAACTTATTCCAGGCGTGACTTATCATACCAGAGACAAGTATTTAATTGAAATCTGACAGTGAGTAACATCATTATCCAATACATTTCAGTGTGGTTATAAAAGATTATATTCCTCAAGTGCATCATTTTAATTTAATTAATTTTAGTCAAGTATTACATGAGCATTTGGTAATATTGTACTTTTAAGTAGAAAATGAAAAATAATACGAGGGAATCCCACATTACCATGATTGATAACAACTTCTTCATTAGTTAAGTAACAAAGTGAAATTCGAACTTGAAATGACAGTGTTAAATTTAATTCATCTGGATAAAGTTTCTAGTAGTAGCGCCCAGTCAACTGTTTTCTGATTACATTTCAGTTATTTTGCGATACACATGTTCTACCTACTGAGAATCTAAGGAAACTAGTGACTTTGTTTATATCATAAGAAAATTATTATGTAATAATTTTCACACAAAATATGTTACAAATCCACATGTTTAATTTTCATTAACCCATTAGTCCCCAAAGTTGCGTGAACGAAACATTTATACAATTATTACTTTTTAATTATATTATTGAACGATATTACTTTTTGCATCTTTACGTAAACTGATTTCAACAATTTCACGCAAAATAATATACATGGTTAATCCTAATGTTGCGTATACATAATAGTTTATATTAAAAACACTAAAAAGTATTTTGACTTAATACATTGTGATATTAGTATTTACTTCAGTATCAAAGTGCAATGAAACAAAACCATATTTTTTCTCTTATCTTGGAAACTAATGGGTTAAAACATTTTGTAAAAAAAAATTGTAATTATATTATGCAAAATTATTCACAAATACTTTATTAAATGTATATTATTAGAATTTGAATATATTAATTAAATGTTTCCACGCGTATCTTATAAATCTTGTATTGATTTTCAAATATAAGTTAACATTAATTTTATTTGTTTTTCTTGAAAAATAAAAAAATTAAGTGAATAATGTACAATTAACGCAATTATCTTTTAAGATTAGTGTATCATTTACTTATTACTAGGGAAGCACAGATTTAGAAGAAATTTTTTAAGGTGTCTCATTGTACCTATTTCTATTAAAGTAAGAGCTAATTTTTCCAAAGAGGCCCATATTTACAAAATAGTTCAAATTTTTAATGGACATCGCTTCTATACTTTCCTTTGTGTCTACCACTGTATTTAGAAAGGATGAATCATTTTAGTTAAAATATATTTTTTTGTTTTGATATTTACATAAGTTCATTGTAAAATTACAATAATGAGTAATTATACCGTCCAAAGTTTCTTTTGTATATTATTTGAATGATTACTAATTTTGAATTCATACTATTCCTTATTTAGATATTTGTGTTAAGTAAGCTGGTGGATATTATCGAAATACATTAATAGTTTAGTGGATAAACTAAAAACAAAATTCTATTTAACAGTAACCATTTAGGAATAATCATTTATTTATTTAAGCAAATATAATAATAAAACGGTTTTACTCCTATGGGACATCAAATGATAATTGGTTATTATTACGACAATATTAGTAAAATGTAAATTTAATTAGGCAAATGTCATGTTATTTAATAAAACTATTATTGTGGCATATTCAAATATTCATATTGTTAATAATATTTATTTGTTCAATGACTCTCCATGAATAATAATTTTCAAGCACTGAAATAGAATTTGCATAAGATTCACCTAATTTATTTATAATTTTTATGATCATCTTGACATTTTTAAATCCATTTTCATAATCAAAATGAAACTTTAAGTCTGATTATAAAACTATACAGCTTGGTTAAAAACTTTTAAATCAGTTAAGTTTTTAGTATAATATTAATTAAAATTTAAAATTCACCTTTACCGATAATTATTCCTAAAAATGGGCAATTGTATTTTCAATTTAATTATATTTACGTTTTTAGCTGAATATTGTCAACTTTCATAATGTTACTTTACTACAGAAATTATTTAAACCATATTCAAATTAATACCATGTTTTAATTGTACCTAGAGTGAATATATTTATTTTTTAAATAATTTTTATAAAAAGATTTGGCTCTGTCGTTTAAAGACAAAATGCAAATTAGTAAAATTAAGTTTTTATGCTACTTAAAATTGAAAAAGACAGTTGAAACCATTCTCATTTATTATAAAAAAAAGTGACTAAATCTTCGTTTTAGTACATTTTTATTTTATCGTATTTTCCTTTTCCACTCTAAATAACCGCTGTATTTAATGACGACCAACGTTATTGTTTAAATTAAATAACAGTTACATTTTAACGGATGTCCTATTACGGGCTATGTAATCTGTCACACGTGAGAGTAAAGATAAATATTATTTTGAAAAATATTTAATATTCTACCTACATAACAAGGATTATACTTCAAAGTTTAGCTCAGTTTTCCTGGTGTTAAGGGCTCGTTTCTAAATCTAAAGGTAATTTATTTAACATTGAGGATTACATCTGAATGACACATCACTATATTTGATGAGCATAAAATTTAATGGTTGACTTAATGGTAATCGGCCTGAACAGTGGCCTTTAACTAAAATCTGAAAATATAGTGATTAATGTAAAAAATTTAATATTACCGTGTAAAATAAATTTCCTAAGTCGAATCCGTTTTCAATAAAATATTTACGGAAACTACAAACTTACAAATATCGGTAGATGTGGGCGTCTTACTGTATGGCTTATATTATAACAGGTAACTAATTTATATCGGCCCGCAGAATTACTTGTACCGCGATAGTCTACCCACGAGCCGCGGGTTATGTTAAATATTAAACAACATTGAAGCTCGTTTAATTAAAATTAATAATGCCGAGTCACAGCTGACATTTTCATTGAATCGGTCGGCCAATACGACTATAGTATTTACAAAACGTCGCACGTCGAGCCCTTAAGAACTGAGCCTAAGGAGATTTGAATGAGGAAAAGTATATTGTATCGTTTACGTTTGTATTCATGCAGAATTTTCTATCGCGCAAAGTGGGATAGAAAATGAAATTAAAAAACTTTCTAAAGACAGTTACTGTAAACAACGTTGATTAAAGTTCATATCGGTTTTGAACAAAACATCCATTGTGTGGAACCGAATAATAATACTCGCGAGCGATTTTTAATGAGATTGATATCATACGATGTTATTTTTTCCCACCAGAACAGCCTTCGCGCTTCCGTTCGAACAACAAGTCAGAAACTGAGAAATTATAATATGTGTATACATTAACGTTCAAAACCGCATTAGTTATATTTTTTGCGATATGCTTCGGCAATTTTTTCCAATTACGTATATTAAAATGTATATATTTTTCCTTATTCGATACAAGAAGTTATTATGTTAAAATATTGCTAACGGTACATAATAAAAAATGTATCTTTAGTAGTTATAAAATTTATATTTTACTTTTACAACAAGACGGGATGACAGCAGACTTTACAATAAGTTTAATAAGCCCTCGAGAATATCACGTATATACGTCCTGAGAAAAGATTATCTCAAGCATCATGTTTTACCGAAAACCTAAAGATTCTTAAAGAAAAATTATTTATAATGCCAATAAATTATAGTTAAAATGTTTTAAAAATATCAATTTTAATGAAAACTAATAATGGCGTTTTGATTTATTAAAAAATTGTAATAATGATCACGTTTTATAGAGATTATCTTGGTTATTAATTTCCAATGATCTGTCAAATTAGAAAAGATATTAAAAAAACTTTTATATATATTTCTAATTATGATTATATTTTTCCTAATTGCACTAAATAAAACGCTATCAGTTCACTTTAAAAAAATAACCTATAATATTCTACATTACTTTTGCAATACGTTATCTTTCTGTAGCGATGACATTTAAAGAAACTCTTAGAGTTTAGGAATACTAGACAGCAGATTAAGGGTTTGATATCGCGTCAAAAAACCAATATTGTTAAAAACTTTACAAACGACAACCGTTATTGTGTACAAAGGAATTGGACGACAACCGCTAAAAAAACGACTCAAGCTATAACCATAAGTCCTATCACAGGCACATATATTTTGCGATAATTCTACTTTATTAGACTTAAGCCTTTCTTTGGCCATTCAAATTTACTATTACTTTCGCTTTACAATATTATGCAATATTATAATATTTTCTCAAATGCAAAATTATAAAAAACTCCTTCTTAAAGCAAAAAAACATTGCTGAGTATGAGACATCATTTTATTACATGATCTCTGAAATTAACGAAATATACATAGTCAAGTAATTCAATATATATTATAATTATGGTAAATACCTGAAAATAAATTCACATTCATGGATATCCGACAAAGCACAAATAATCTATTCTATAGTCTAAAAAAATTTCAAAACGTTTTTTAAGCTATAAAATCGAAAAAAAATTTTATATTGTATCTGTCAGTAAATCATTTAGTATTTTACAAACTGTAACCTCAATCAGGGTTGTTACGTTTTAAAGACGCAATGTTTTAAAAATTTTAAATATCATCATTTACTTAGGTTTTATTTTTAAGTCAGGAATTTTTTACTGTTAACTGATGTTACAGCAATAAATATGGCTACTGATCATTCGTAATCATATGTAATTCATTCATAACTTGATCGTATTATTTACTGATATTGAACGTACAGAAATATTTGCTTCAGGTTTATATTAAATTAATATATTTTATTTCAATGTAACAAAAGCAGACTTCTTGATTTTTGCCGTGTGTTATAAAATATTATACAAAGTATTATTTTTGACTGAAAAACAGTTTAAGAACTATTGTATATTTTATTGTACCTTCGTTAATAAATAACACTTTATAAGACCTATGCAAAATATCGACAACATCACTCAAAAAGAGTCAATCTAAAAGACGAAAAAAATTGAAAATAAGACGTTTCAAAAACTTTGGGACAATGCACTAAACTGATTCAATCTTAAAATGTAAAATATCTTTTCATAAATAATACTCGCCCATCAATACCAAGCGTGAAAAAACATAATTCAAGTTAGAGTTGGATACACCTATTCATGCTTTATATTAAATTTTTGAAATAACCAATTTGTAATGTATTCTCACAATATAATATACTAATTGCTCAAAATACTCAAATGTCGTAACAATTCTATTAAATCACTCCACCAAAAAACACTAGGAGAAAAATATGGAAAAGCGATATACCAGTTCTTTATTAACCTAGTTTTAGCTAATTAACTGCTATTAAAAATTATTTAATATTTAATCACATAACATTATAAAAATAATTATCAAAATTCATTACATAAATTGTAAAAATAGAAATTGATTAATGACCATTATAATGATTAAAGTCTTTTAATAAAGAAAATAATTTAAATAAATAAATTGTTTTAAATATTAAATCGAATATTATTTAAAATTTATGATAAAATTATATTTTAGCTACTTAGAATATTATCATTAGTATTATCTCTGGACCGATAATTACAAATTTGAGGTTGAAACTATATTGTCTACTTAACTTGTTGCCAATTTGTTTTTGTATTTTTTGTTATTGTTTTTACGTTATTTTTGAAGTTGTTTTTGTCGTTTTCGATGTTATTTTTTCTGATATTTTTAATAATGTCGTTGTTATTGTTTTGTTTTTATCGTTATCGTTGTATTTGTTTTTGCATTTTTCGTTGTTATTACTATATTTTTGATTTTTGTTTTTCATTGAATCTGAAAAAAAGTTTATTAAAAAATTACATTATTTCGTCGGCTTAATACAGAAAAGAGTGATGTGTATTCTTAGCGAAACTGAGTTGATTAAAATCTATTGTATAAGAGTTCGAAAAATAAAAAAAAACTAATATTTTAGTCTCTAAATCGCACTACAAAATTAATTATACCCAAGAGATAATAGTAAAAAATAATTTCAAACTGCTCTCCTGAAATGACAAAAATGTATATAACTCTTTATTGTACTAGGCTATCAATAAATACATTATCAAGTTATTCTATTCTGATTCTTAATATAACATTTTCTTTAATGTTCGTTAAATAATATTTAAAAATGTTTTTAAAAAAAATGATAAAATCAATGCGCTTGATAGGATATGAACTCTGAACCTAAAAAAAATAAAGACTCCGCACGTTACCACTCACAATCGATTACTGGAATCGCAAAATGTTAAGCAAAACTTTTTAAGTAGATTCAAATTTTCAAAATGATTTTTTCGACTAATGGGACATTGAAAAAAAATTAACAATAAGTTTAACTTTATATTCAGTGTAATTTAAATTACATAACTTTTATGAAAATGAGTGACATATCATTATTGCCTCCAAGCAGTATTTTAAAATAAAAAAACAATTAGTTGTTCATGTTTTAATAACTATTAACAGTATTAAATAAAAATTATATAAAAAAAAGAAAGAAAGTTTAAAATAATTTTTTTCTAAAGGTCATTGCGGTCCTCTTTTTTCATAACTATGAAAAGCGATCAAAACTAAAAGAAATATACTTTTTAACAATAAAAAATACACAAGCCTACAAAAAAAAATTTTATTGATACAGCTTTGTATTTGTATAAAGTACAAAGGTACTTAAAGTATAAAGTAATAAGGTATAAAGTAACTCAAAATAAATATAAATTTTATTGGTGTTGATGATTGAGTTACTATGCGTTTATTAAATAAAATGATATAACATAACTTTCTTTTGCTGTATGAGTGGGAGGGTTTTAGAGAAGATGTAAATTATAGAAAAACAAAGTGCTGTGTGAAAATTTATTAATATAATAATAATTTGAAATAGAAAATATTGAGATTTATTATCATACTTTAAGTGTTAATAACGCTACTCGTACCAGTAGTTATCTTGTGTTGACTGTGTGACGTGTCAATAAACACCTTGAGTAGCATGGGAATCACAAGTCCCTAAGGTGATTCTCTATATTCGCATGACAGTCTTTATCCGGTTGACCACACAGGTAAACTACTCAAAGATTAGACTAAGCAGGTTAGTTTTGTGCAAGAGTTATCGATTTTATTTATTTAAATAATATTTTATTCTAGTAATCACTTAATACTTCTAATTGCCTACTTAATTAATGTACTCATTACACTTAACTTTAAATTTTATAAATCTTCTGTAAAATGTAAGTTTACATTTATTATTTTGAAAACAAGATTTTAATAAATATACTTTGTTGTTCTTGTGATTTTATAATATACACCACTTCTTGTACTTGTTGGAAGATCATAAATGAAGAAGAAATGAGCAAAAATTACACATTTGTGCCCTTTTTTTTATTAAATTTAACCCATTTATATATGCAATAAGTATCACGACCTTTTACTGTTATCTATTAACCGTATTACCTCATGTAACCTTATTACATAAGGTTTTTATCAATGTATTTTTTATACATTTTTCTCGAAATAGTTCAAAAGTTTATATTATTCATATACATCACACGAGTAATACATATTGAATTTGATGATTAATAGACAATGATTTATAGACTACTGAATAATAAATGGTGTATATATTATAACAAATAGTGTGAATTATGTCACCGCTAGTTAATGTCACCAGGCAGCTTTGGTTTACCTTTTTTTCTCATTTTAATTCTTTTCCGGTGTTATTTAAAACTGTCAACTTTACAATAACTTCTATGAAATTTATCTTATTATTATGGTAAGTAGGTTCAACGAACGGTCCTGATATAATTCGTTACATTGGTTTCCTAATCCCTTCTCTTAATATGGTAATATAAAATTATATTAGTTTCTCATAACATTTTTAAAATTAGTTTTTGTACAAAAATTTAATTATTTTTAATAAATTTTGTGATTATTGTACAAGAATTGTACTTCTTTCTTTGACAAGTCCTGAGGACACATTTTTTTTCAAATTAAAGTATATTGCATACTCTTCAATTTATGATATATATATATATAAAGGTTTCTGTATTCAAAGAATATTTTCAATAGTTAACTTTTCATGAAGTCGCTGTTCTGAATGCTTCACATGGGCAGGTAAAAATAAAAAGTTATTACTTAGTTTTAAATAAGAGAAGTCAAAATTTTAAAAATCATAATTCTTTGAGGGATTTACTCCATTTACGGAGAATGACGGAATTGTTTTCAATTTTTAAGGTTAATATTTTAAGCTAGATACGATTTTTAATCTTTTGACATACCATTGATGAAAATAGATCCATTAGGAGCTGAGAAAAATTGAATATAAACACAAAAAATTTGTGTCCTTAGCAGATTATTTTAAGCCTTGATGAGAAGCTTAAAAGGTATTAATTTTACTATGATGTTTTTTTGTGTGTGTGTGTGTCTATTTCCTCTTATTCTCAAATCTATTGAAGCGATTTTAATAACAAAAGTACATCAAAAGATTATTTTCTGAGAATTTTTTCATCGTAGCCTTTAATTTTTATACACGTTTGTCATAAAAATAACAAAATATATGACTGCTTTATAATTTCTCCATAAAATTTATTAATTTTATACTAAATGTAATTATTATAATTAGTATTTATAGGAGTTAATGTTGCTACTGGAATAATACACCAATATCTTAAAAATGAACACTATCTACAAATTTGCATCGAACCATTTCTTATGACAGTGATTTTAATCACTGTCATATATCATCTATATTTGGCCTAACTATGCCATGTCCACACTATATTGAAAACCCTCTGTGCTATCGTTTTATATATATTATTCAATTAATTATACGACATAATCAAAGTATAAACTTCAAAAATTAAAAATTTTAACAGAACTTTGGTATATATATTATTATAAAACTGTAATTTTTATTTTTAATTAAATTTTATAAAAAAAAAAAAACATTGGGATTGCAGTATTGCTAGAACAAAAATAGACGATATCTGACTGTGATTAAAATCACTATTACAAATAACACTTCGTTCCAAATCTGTTAAATTTCACAACAATTTATATACTTGTAATTTCACAATATCATAATTTTAATATTTCACTCAAATATTTAATGATGATTCAATTGTTTGCTTAATTGATAATAAAGTACCATTTCTTTTATATTGCAAATTTCTTTTACTTTGACAACTGATTTCTCATAGTAGAACAAATGTTGAGCAACATTTTTTTTAATATTATAGTACTAATCAAAAACTTTTATATTGGTATAAGGTAAAAAAACGCAATGGTTCCAGAACATGTTCAAAAATAAAGTTGAAAAAAAAACTTACATGCGTTAATGGGTTTTTTTTAACCCTTCCTCTTTATAGATGTTTAAATTAATTTTTACAAAAATTATTCCAAAATAAAGCTCATGACTTTTTTTTTATATACATTATTATTAGAATCACTATTTACGAAAAGAGTAATAGAAGTTTTTAAATGTGAAAAAAAAAATTATAAAACGCCATTCTTTTTGGATATTGTAGTTTAAAATTGTGGGGTTTTTTCAATTTTTAGTGACGGATTAGTCTATTTAGATTATATCAAATTATTTTGATGCATTAGTCTTAAAAAACGATTCAGCGAAAGCTGAGTATTGTCATGAACATTCATAAAAAATTATAATTTCACAGATTATAATTTCCGGTTTAAGCTTTTGAATTACTCAAACTTTTTTTTCTAACTTCGTGTTTATGCGGAAAAGGTGAAATTTTTACAAAGACATGGTTCTTCATACGTACTGTCATATAGTCTCATCTATTACTAGTTAAATATATTTTTACGATACTTTAATGATATTTTAATGAAAATCCCAAATTAGGTTTGAAATTTCCAATCCTAAACTTTTCGAAAATTGAAGAATTTCTTCACTCTCCGCCAAAATAATAAATAAATTATTAATAAAACAATATCATGACTATAACTTTTTAAACAGCTCCTACAAGTAGAAAGAAAATTTTACTTTAATTTCTTTGTAGAGTGAAATAAGATAATACTAAATGCATTATTTTAGATAAACTTACATTTAATATGTTAACAACACGAACAAGTNTGTATTTTTACGATACTTTAATGATATTTTAATGAAAATCCCAAATTAGGTTTGAAATTTCCAATCCTAAACTTCTCGAAAATTCATAATTGAAGAATTTCTTCACTCTCCGCCAAAATAATAAATAAATTATTAATAAAACAATATCATGACTATAACTTTTTAAACAGCTCCTACAAGTAGAAAGAAAATTTTACTTTAATTTCTTTGTAGAGTGAAATAAGATAATAATAAATGCATTATTTTAGATAAACTTACATTTAATATGTTAACAACACGAACAAGTACCAGAATTTTTCAATTTAAAATAAAATCTGCTAAATATTCTAAGAGAAAAGGTTAATTTATAAGTAACTCGTTTATTTACATTTACCACATTCATACTAACTTTGAATTTTTTTTTTTTGAAGAAGAAGAAAAAATTCTAATTACTAGAACTCATATAGACAACATTTATACCATTAATAATGTCACATACAGTACGAATATTACTTGTACAGGAACAGAAAAGTATAATTATAACAAGAAGTTTGTATTAAGATTTAGTTAAGCCAGACTATTAATTGACAAGGTACAAAATAGGCAAGACCTGTGTTCTCTTAAACGTAGTTTGGTAAAGTTAGACGGTTCTAATGACATGTAGAATGTCTGCTCATTTATTATTATACTATGAAATTGTATAGTCCTTTTGCTTTACCGAGCCCTTTAAGAGTTAACAATCTCACTATATTGTGTTCTATAGTACCTATTTCGTTGAATCATTACAATGTGTTGCGGTGAAAGTATTCGATCGAAAATTGTGAACTCCTAAGTCATACAACGTTACAGGCCAAAAGTCACATTTGTTAACATTTCCTGCGGGAAAGTGTCTGTATTATTTATGACTTATGATATACTTTATTACAATAGTTTTATCGAAAATAAAATTATTTTGGGTTAGCATTTTATAACTTGTACATTTCTAGCGAAATAATATGAGTCATTTTAGTTGCTGATATTTAAACAATCCTAATTTACAAGAGATTAAACAAAATACATAGTTAATTCCAAACATTTTAGTGGGACAATCAATCGTTTGACAATATGTTTCAAAGTAGAAAGGTAGATCCGTTTTTAACCTTTTGTATTTAACGTTTTAGAACTTCATTGCGATAAAGTATAGCTATTTAAAGCAATCGCTTAATTCGTTGAAATTGCAAGTTCTAACTTGAAAACTAAGAAATATATTTAATATTTAAATAACATGTATGCGGTATAATTGTAACGTGAAAATAATCATTTTTATTTTACTTAGCTCCATTTACAAGTGGAATTTTCTTTTATGAAAGACTAATTTAACCTGTCATCTTATATCAGTATAAAAATTATTTAGTTATTTAATGAAGACTTATCTAAATATTTTACTTCAGAAAAATATCATTTATTTAATTAACGAAATCTATAAGTGTCAATCATAGACTAACATATTTTTTTATCCATCATAAGTAGTAATAAAAGACACAAAGTTTATTCTATGATAATTTATAAAAAATAAAAATCATACATTTTTATTACATATTGACATCCCCCAAATTTCTTTATAATATATCCACGCCTATTAATATTAATAATCAATAATATCGTTAAGTATCGTATAAATAATTTTTTAACATATTATTAAATAATAAATTAATGATAAAAAGTATTGTTTAATACTCTTGTAATAAATTATATTTATAAATAAAAATTTATTATAAGAAATTCTATGGTTAACTATAAATAATAGTGACATCATGTGATGTAATGAGTGTGACTTAATGTTATTTCTACATATATATTGTATCATTAAAAATAACTTTTTATTTTGAGATTAAATTTAATTGCAATGAAAGGTAATCTAAACTAATTGTATAAAGAAAATAATGTATTTGAGGCTAAGAAATTACGGTTAAGTTTTTACAAATATGTATAGTGCATTAAGACTTAGGTATAATATAAAATTAAAATAAAACAAATTTTACATTTTCATATATTTCAGAAGGATGCCAGTGATTTCTTATAAGATTATTAGAATTAA